TCCTGCTCTTTCGAGGCGCTGTTTGTAGACCTGTGAGCACTGACCACCGCTCTGGGCTCAAGTGACTTCTCTCTTAGTTCCCCTCCTACCTCCCTGTCCACTCTGCCCTCTTCTTCTCAGTCCCCTGCACAGGCTCTTTGTCCTTGTGCTGGTGACTCCCAGGGATTTGTCTGGGGATCTCTTCTCACTTCACTTGCTCCTGTGTGACACCAGTGACCCCCCAGAACTGTGTATTGCAGGCACACCCTGATGGCAGCTCCACTGGGCGGACCTTAGACACCTCACACCCTGTGTGCCCAAATGGGACTCCTCCCCTCTCCTCCCATCTCAAAATACCTGCTCCTCTTCCCAAATCTCTGCTCTTGTCTTGGTGAGTAAGGACACGTCCACTCATCATACCTAGAAAGTCTGGGTGCCACCTCATCCTTCTCCATCTTCCTGGACTTTGGCCCAACAGTCCAGCCCAACTCGGAATTATCTTCCTAAAACCACCTCCTCCTCTCTGTGCCCCTTGGCCCTGCTTCCACTGAAGCCCCTGCTTGCTTGGGCAACAACTCTTAACCAGTTTCCCACCCATCCTTTCTCCAAATGGGTCACTAGGGATTTTTCGGAAGTGCCAATTCAACCAGGTCACTCCCTGCTTAAGAACCACAGTGGGTAAAGGCCAAACATCTCAGCATCACCCTCAAAGCCCTTGAGGATTGTTTCCTGCCCTCCTGGAGGCCAGGCAGGCCAAGTCCCCTTAGTTCTTTGATGCAGACCTCTCCCCCTCCCCTCCGTGCTGCCTCCATGTGCTGGCCTTGTTTGGAAATGTCTTCCTCTTGCTTCCCTACTTCCCAGTGCCCAGGCTCAAGCATCCCCCCATCTCCCCCGCAGGAAGTCTTCCTGACACCCTCCCTCTACCACCCCAGGAGTCTGATTTGGGGCTTCCTCTTCTGCATTTCCTATAACCAACTCATACCTCACATTATAAATTCTTACCTATCTTTCTTCCAGTTCCCCAGGAAGGCAAAGATTGTGTCTTATTAATAGCATTCCCAATGTTTAATAATGTCAGTGGCTAATAGTAATAGAATAACTAATACAACTGGTAAGAACTTTTAATTGCAGATACTATTTGGAGTTCTTTCTGTGCACTACCCCATTACAACATCCCTGTGCTTAGGTACTGTTACTGTTCCTTGTATATTACAGATGAAGAAATCAAGGCTTAAAGACATTAAATAGTTTTTCGAGGCTCACTCACAAAGGATTGGTGGAGCCAGATTTTGATTGCAGGCGCTCAGACTCCACAGTCCGAGTGCAGTATCTGAAACACGGTTGGCTTTCAGCTCCTATGTGTGACCTGTCGGGGTGAATGAAGTAAAAGATGATCCACGTGTGAATGAGGGATAAATGTCCAAATGCCAGGACCACTGCCACACACTGAGAAGGATTAGCTGGGAAGGAGGAAGGAACAGGGGCAGGAGAGCTTACTGAGAGGGGGATATGAGGGTGAGTCCAGCTAGGGTGGAGGGGGGTGGGAAAGTGGGAAGATGCCCAGCGGCTCATTTCATGGTGTCTCTGGGCCAGCTGGGAATGGTTGAGATTTGGAAGCCATGAAGCAGCCACTGTGAGTAAAGCCATTTGAGCTGAGCCAGCCTGGGGGACCTGAACTTCTGGTAGCTCTGCCACCCCCAACCTCAAGTAGAGAGAGGGCAGAGAATTCACATTCACCTCTGAGTCCTGAGCCTCCCACAGAGGACCTCACAAGGTCAGGAGGCGCTTAGAGAGGACTGGTCTGAGGCAGCCCTTGGACAGGAGAGGGGTGAAGGCACCACAGGGGCATGAAGCCCATGCATGGGGCCAGAGAGTCCAGGCTGCTCCTCCACCTGGATATGGGGGCTGAATGTGACCTGGGCTCTGGGCCTATCAAGCTGGCTTACAGGCTCAGCCTTTTGGTTCACTTCCTGCGAACCATTAATCAGAGGGTGTGAGGGCCAGAGTGCTGGGGCAGGGAGGTGGCTCTGATCAGAGAAGTGTGTCCCTTGCTCTAGGAGGAGGGACAGAGAGCATTTGGGCATTTGTCATTCACACGTGGATCATCCTTTACTTCATTCACTCCTCAGGGAAACTGAGGAGAGGTGATGAGCAGGGCTGTGAGCTGTGGGAGAGGGACACTCGAGCAGAGATGGGAGCACGCCTGTTGGGGCTGGCCTGTTCTGGCAAGGTGGTGGGGAACCTCCAGGCCTTTGTAAGGCCCAGGGAGCCCTGGCTGCCACTTCTGACCCTTGAGCAGGTTACAGTTTCCTTATTTGTAGAATCGTCAGTGCCTGTGGCCCCAGGGGGGTGGGGGCAGGTCTGAAGGGAGGATGAGGAGTTAGTTCCCCACAGATGGTGGCAAAGGGAAGCCGCATGGGCAGATCCAAGTGGATTCCTCTGTTCCCTTCCTCTTCCCACCCCTGGAAATGGAGACAGTGACCCAGGAGAAGTGACCAAACTGACGGGAGGAGCTCTGCAGGTGAATGTGCTTCACAGAGCATTTGAAATACACGTCCTCACAACAGCTCTGGGAGGGGCGGTGAGGTCCGGCACTACTCTGCTGTTAGGTGATCACTTCACACCTGGGGAAGTCAGGGTGCCACCTGAGGAGCTGAGAGCTCTTTGCTTTGTGTCACACAATGATGCTGGATGTTGTGAACCCCAAAAATACCAGGCTGAAGACCCTCAGGATAACAGTCTCTGTGCATATCTTGGGGGCACGGGAAGACCAGAAGCTAGGAGCCGGGGGCGCTGGCTTGGCTCAAGCCTCCTCCCTGTTCCACAGCCGAGTGTTTCCTTCACCAGAGTTTACCTATGGGAGCCTCGCTGGGCTGTGAGGCCAAGGGTGGATTGCTCAGGACCTAATTTCAGGGTGCACTTTGGCAGTGGGCACCAGCCCTGGCATTCTGGGCCCTGGGGGATCAGACTGGAAGAGAACTTAGAGTTGATCCAGCCTGTCCAGCCAAGGCAGGGGACACAAAGGAAGCTGGGTTCCTTAAGGTGTGCCTAAGTGAGAGGCAGGGAAAGAAAACGCTGCAAAGTATGATTTTTAAAGCCAACTTTTAGATGGGGCCAGGGAAGGTAGACTGGGAAGGCAGAAATGGCTAACATCCACACTCGTGGGAGGCCCCCAGAAGCCCAGTGAAAAGTCTGCTCACGGCTTGGCGCCTATAGCTCAACCGGCTAAGGCGCCGCCACGTATACCTAAGGTGGTGGGTTTGAATCCCCAGCCCAGACCCGCCAAAAACAACAATGACGGCTGCAACCAAAAAAATAGCCGGGTGTTGTGGCGGGCGCCTGTGGTCCCAGCTACTTGGGAGGCGGAGGCAGGAGACTCGCTTGAGCCCAGGAGTTGGAGGTTGCTGTGAGCTGTAATGCCACGGCACTCTACCCAGGGGGACAGCTTGAGGCTCTGTCTCCAAAAAAAAAAAAAAAAGAGAGAGAAGTCTGCTCACTGTTTCCTCACAGTGACACAGCCAGGGACAGCACAGGAGGGCCAGTGACTAACATAGGAGGACCCAGTACTTAGCAGACAAGCAAGGTGTCACATTTTTGCAAGAGCCAGAGCAGGTGTCCCTCTTCTGAGGGTGGGGAGCCACCTGGAACACTGCATGACAAGGCAATGACAGGGCACCAGAGAAATGCCCAATGGCACTTAATGGGGACAGGTGTAGCTGGCACACAGGGAGGAGTGAGGGCATGTGGGCGCTACCCTTCCTGCCCCAAGCAGCCATGTGCAGGCAGGGCTGGGGCAGGTGCAGGCCTGGGCTCCCCTCCAAGAGAAAGTAGAAGGGAGGAAGAGGACTACTGGAGTAAACCAGCAAAAAATAAAACATGGAGAGAAAGCAGGGGAGGGGAAAGGAGAGGGGAGAACAAAGAGGAAGAGGAGGAGGGGAGAGAGGAGGGAGGAGTGGGAGGAGAGGAGGAGGACTGGGGCAAACAAACAAACAAATATCAAAACCCATAGAGGAGGAAGGGGGAAATGGAGGGTGGGGTACTGAGAAGGTGGGAGGTGGTGGGACCCTATGAACCTGTAGCCCTGGGCAGGTGGGCCGTGGACCAGGGTAAAGCACCCAGGCCTGCAAGCCAACAGGAAGATGCTCTCCTTTTCTACATTTCTGGATTTTCTAAATTATCTATGACAGAGATGTATCAATTTATAATGCTGACTTTAGGAAAATATGAGGCGGGAAAGATCAGAATGATCTATTAGAAAATGTGAGCTGAGATTTCCCTGGGATAAGGGAGCTTTTGGTGATTTTTCCCTGGTTTCTTTCCAAATCATCTAGATGAGCAGGAATGTTTTTGGTAACCACAGGGGGAAAATACAAGAGTGGCTCCTGACTGAGGAGAGTGGTGAGGGGCAGGAGGAGGGGTGGGCCAGGGACAGCTGCTGCTGGACAGTGACCATCTGTGACAAGCTTCCCATGGGCCTGCCAGGACTAAGCCCTTGGGTAATGTTTGTTGAGTGAACACTCGTGTAAAGGTGCCTAGACCAGCCTCCTGGAATGGTCTAGGCAGTAGCAGAGAAGTCCTATTGGGCAGCTTCTGGCCAGTTATTAGCCACGGCACATCCAGGCTGCCCTCCCCAGGCCTGCAGGCTCACTAAGACAGCTTAAATGGAGAGACCTGGGATCCTGCAGTCCAAAGAGGCTGCTTTGATGCGGATGGTGGTGGGCTTGTTTTGGCACTTAAAGGAGGAGAGAGAGGATGGGAAGGGCCCAGTCACACACCTGGCAGCTGGCCGAGAGGACCAGCCAACAGCAGTAAGTGGCTTCTCGGCACAGAAGCAAGAATGAGGGTGATAAATAAAGATGTCTTTATTGTCTCTTCTTAGAGTGCACAGTGGTTCTAAGAGGGCTGCATTCACTCCCAGGCAGTGTGGGGAGAGGACAGAGTCAGAGCAAGGACAACATATTCAGGAGCAGGAAGGACCATGGCAGGGCCCAGGTTCTGGGGAGGGATTGGGGGTAGAGGACTCAGGAAACTCTGGCTGGGGCGACCAGGATGTCCCTGTAGCCCTTGATCTCCTTGACCTCGTTGCTGGTGATGAGGACTTGTAGCTGGCGGGGCCCCTCTTTGATGGGATAGAGATCCAGTTGAATTTGGATGGTGTGTCCAGCCACCAAAGTCCCAAGGCTGAAAATCAAAAAGAGCCTGTCAGAGCCTTGAAAAGTCACCACCTGGATAGAGCTCTGTTTCCCCTCTTGGTGGGGACATACCTCCCACTCCCCAATACCACCCAGTTCAATCTTTGCTGAGGAGGGTGGGAAAGTAGGGGTCAGGAGGCACCTTTCAGGAGACTGAGGAGGGTCCTGGGACCCCACGAGACACCCCTTATCAGAGACCAACATGAGCACAGTGGATGGATGCTGTCACTTACTCATTTGCTATCTGCCCATCGATGAGGCCACTTCCTTCCAACACCATCATGCAGTTACTCAGAGCCACCGTTAAGGTGTTGGTGAGGGTGATGTGGACTCTCAGTGCCTTTCCTACCTCAGCCCTCTCAGACACCTGTGTGGAGAGAAGACCAAGACAGGGTGAGCCACTGGCCTCACTCTGCACTCCAGTTCAGTTACCTCCCTCTTCCTCCGGTGACCACCAGGGACTGCCACTAAACTGCTACAGTTAGGAGAGAAGAATATGAGCAGAGACCGTTTAAAGCAACACATACTGGCTCTTTTAGGTCACAATACTCCAAAAAGCCAACACCAGCTAGGAATTAACACCAAGTGAAACACATTTCCCTCCCAATCATCTGGTTCAGGATGCCTACTAGATTTCAAATGAGGTGCCAGCTCCAATCAATTAGTGGTGGCGAATAGAAAGGCTTAAATAGGATTCTGAGACCAAATCCAGAATCAGTGAGAGAATCATGATTGATTAGTAATGTCTGACACAGGCATGATTAGAAAGTGGTATCATGTGTGCCATTCAGGTACCCTCAATGATGTCATTTCATCTTTCCTCATCAGTGAGGAAACAATGAGGCCAAGGTCCTGTGATGTATCAATGGCAGAGCCAGCACCCGACTCAGGTGTCCCAGACCTTAGCCCAAGACCTTTCCCCAACACTGCTGTGTTTTCATAGACATCAGCAGGAGAAGTATGCTCAGTGCATCACTCATATCTGTGTCATAGGCAGCAAGGCCATGGCCTGGGAGCAGCAGGCAGAGATCCTGTCCTGCTCGCTTCTGGGGCCCCTGTGCCTAGCACAGTGCCAGCCAAGTGAACTGAAAGGAGCTCTGATCACCCAGATCATAGGGAGGGCATGTTCTGGTTGGGTCAGAGAATCAAGGAGAAGGAAGCATACACCCCGACTTAAGGGAATGCAAACAAAAGGACAAAATTCCAAGTACCCTAATAAGAGTGTCAAAGTAGAAAAGGTTAAGGTAACTAGGAATGAAAGACTTAAAGGTAAGACCTAAAACCACAAAAATTTTAGAAGAAAATTTAGGAAAAAACTTTTCTGGACATTGGCCTAGCCAAAGAATTTATGACTTAGACTCCAATAGCAAATATAGCAGCAACAACAATAATAATAATAATAAATGGGACTTAATTCAATTAAAAAGCTTCTGCACAGCAAGTGAAATAATCAACAGAGTATATAGACAACTTAGGGAATGAGGGGAAATATTCATAAACCATACATCTAACAAAGGACTGATATCCAGAATCTATAGAGAACTCAAAGTAATCAACTAGAAAAACAAAAACCCTGTTAAAAAGTGGGTAAAAGATATGAACAGAAGTTTTTCCTAAGAAGATAGACAAATGGTCAAAAATTATATGAAAAAATATAATGTTTTAGTGTCAGTGTCACTAATTATCAAATTAAATCTACAATAAGATACCACATTACGCCTGTTAAACGGCCATAATTAAAAAAAAAATTTTTTTTGAGACAGAGCCTCAAGCTGTCCCCCTGGGTAGAGTGCTGTGGCATCACAGCTCACAGCAACCTCCAACTCCTGGACTCAAGTGAGTCTCCTGCCTCAGCCTCCCAAGTAGCTGGGACCACAGGCGCCCACCACAACGCCTGGCTATTTGTTGGTTACAGCCGTTGTTGTTTGGCGGGCCTGGGCTGGATTCAAACCCACCACCTTAGGTGTATGTGGCTGGCACCTTAGCCACTTGAGCCACAGGCACCGAGCCTAAAAATTTTTTAAAGAAAAGATGCTGGCATAGATGCAAATAGAAAAGAACAAATACACACTGTTGGTGAGACTGTATAACTTCTATGGGAAACAGTATAGAGAGTCCTCAGAGAAGTGAACATAGACCTCCCATTCAATCTAGCAATCTCACTAGTGAAGGAAGTGTCAAAAGGACGCTTGTAGGCTGGGTGTGGTGGCTTACACCTGTAATCCTAGCACTCTGGGAGGCAGAAGCAGGCAGATCACTTGAGCTTAGGAGTTTGAGACCAGCCTGAGCAAAAGTGAGGCCCTGTCTTTACTAAAAATGAAAAACTAAGGGGTGGCACCTGTGGCTCAGTGAGTAGGGCACTGGCCCCATATACCGAGGGTGGTAGGTTCAAACCCGGCCCCAGCCAAATTGCAACAAAAAAATTGTGTGGGGTGTCTATAGTTACTCAGGAGGCTGAGGCAAAAGAATCACCTAATCCCAAGAGCTGGAGGTTGCTATGAGCTGTGACACCACAGCACTCTACTGAGGGCAACAAAGTGAGAGTCTATCTCTCTAAAAAAAAAAAAAAAAAAAAAATGAAAGGACAGCTCCTGTGGCTCAAAGGAGTAGAGGAGTAGGGCGCTGGTCTTATATGCTGGAGGCGGTGGGTTCAAACCCAGCTCCCGCCAAAAACTGCAAAAAAAAAAAAAAAAGAAAGAAAGAAAAAGAAAAACTGAGGCAAGAGATCACTTGTGCCCAAGAGTCTGAGGTTGCTGTGAGCTACGATGCCACAGCACTCAACCCAGAGTGAAAAAGTGAGACTCTGCCTCAAAGAAAAAAAAAAGACACTTGTACTCAAATGTTTATTGCAGCACAATTCACAATTACAAAGATGTAGAATGCTGATGAACTGACGAGTAAAGAAAATGGGGTATATTGATAGGAAAGAATACTACCCAGTCATAAAGAGGAATGAAATAACATCTTCCGTAGCAATTTGGATGGAACCTTTGGAGACTATTATCCTAAGTGAAGTGTCTCAGGAATGGAGAAACAAACACCTGATGTTCTCACTGATAAATGGGGACTAAACGAAGAGTGTACATGTTCATAAAGTGGAGAAAGAACACTGGAAACCAAGAGAGGGGGTGGTGCGAGGAGGTAAGGGATAAAACTTACCTACTGGGCACAATGTACACTACTCTGGTGATGGGCACAATAAAATCCCTGACTTCAACATTATACAACTCATCCATGGAACAAAAACACTTGCACTCGTGTAATGTTTTGAAATGACTGGAAGCCGGCCCAGTCACACAATCATCCAGAGGTCCCTTATGATGGGGACTAATTAGCAAGCTGTTTGGCACCAGGATCCCGCTACAACCAGGGGTCAGCACCAGGTGTATCTGCCTGTGCGATTCTGCCCACTGTTTGCATCACCGTGGGGGCTGCCCGGCATCAGCTGGCCCGATAACCCGACTACGTGCCCAGGTGAACACCATGGGGTGGGCCAGCTGACTTACAAGGACAGAGCCACCCAGTTCTCATCTGGGGTGGGCATGGGGCCTGCCGTTGGCAAAGGCAGTGAGCACATCTTTCATAGTGGGAGGGGAAGGTAGAGAAATAAGGCTTCAGGGAAGGAAAAGCCTGGTAACAGGAGATGGGGAACAAACACACCCTCTTCCACGTACCCCTCCTTTGCCTGAAATTCCTGCCTTGTGTAATGGCCTCACCAGCCACCCTGGCATCTGAGCTCACTTTCCTTCTGTCTCTTCTGTTCCATCTCCCGGTCACTAACTTTTTTTGTCTCTGCCTTTGCAAAGCTATTTGCTTACTTCAAAATGCCTTCACACCCATCTCATTTTTCTGTATTTCTCATTTCTATGCATCTCTACAAAAATGTCGCTTCCTCTGAGAAGCCTTCATGCTTCACTTTGTACCAAACATAGGGGACCACGCTGTATGGCACTTTAATCAATTATTTTGGTGTTTAAGGCAGGGACAGTGTCTTGTTTGCTGCTGCACCCTGGCCCCTGGTTGGTGAGAGCCCTGGGCCGCTCA